TAGGAATGCAAAAAATCAGAAGTTTGGATACCCTAAAAAGTTAAATAATTATTTACGCTTCTTGTCGTTATGTCCTAGTTAGAGCTACTAGAGATACAGGCTGACTCGTCAGCCATTTTGAATCTAAGGTTTAGGGTTGCAATTTACGTGTGGAGCGGCAACTTTGGCTCTTTAGCGCTGTCCGCTTAAATTTAAATTTAACATTCTAGAGAATCCGAATTTCAGCTTTTTTCTGCACTCCTATAAAGATGTGTGGCTTTTTCCCCTTCTTTTGTCTGCAGTTCAGATTCTTTCTCGTATTTTTTTTTTTTTTTTTTTTTTTTTTTTTTTTTTTTAAATTGCCAAATTTCTCGTATGATTCAAGTTATTTTAAAAGTTTCTAAAACATTTTCACATATCATATTTCAAATTTGTATTTTTAGTTAAAAATACTTTCTTTTTGAATTCCTTCATTGAATTTTCAATTTTTTCTTTTAAATACACGCATAATGTTATTTATCTCAAAATGTATTTTTTGACAAGAGCTTTCCCTCAACCACATTCTTAATATGGTTGAGGGAAATCCCTCAACCTCCATTAATTTAGGATAAGGTTTAATCTTTAATTTTTGTTTTTTATTTTTAATATGTTATTTGAATTTTGCTCACATGGAATCAAACGTCTATTACTGTAGCAAATTTGTTAAAAATGTTATTTTGTGTGTGTTTCCAGAAAAAGCTGCTGCTAAACACTTTATGATTTTAAATACTGATTCAAGATATACACCTTTAAATTATAATGCTTTTAGAATGAAGAAGTGCAGAATGCTATAAAAATTACTTCAATGCTCAGATGACTGTGGGATTCATAGATTTAATAGAGTAAAAAAAAATTCCATTAAATATATTTTTTTTTTTCTTTATTTAGCTAAAAACAATATTAAAATAATACACAAATAAATAAAAATAAAAATAATACCTTTACATACAGAATTCACAGATACTATTTACTTATAAGTTTATTTGTTGTTGATGGTTACTTTTTATTATACTTGGAAAAATTATACTTACATACATATGCTCTTAATATTACACGTATCTGAATATTTAAATGATAATTCCATAACATAATAAGATTCAATCTATATCACAGCAAAGACAATACTTAAATCACAGTTCTTTTTATTAATTAATTTGCATAAGTAAAACATAAAAATATTATTTAGCTTCAAATCTATAAAATAAGTCCTCTAGTAACAAACATATGACAAACACATATAGTGAAAATAAAGATAAATAAATAAAAATGTTTTGCTTTTTGGTCTAATGTAGTGCAATTCAGTCTATTATATTCAAATTTTATTAAAACATACTGCAGTAATTGAATTTTTTCCATTATACATCAAACAGACCACAAAGGTTCGATAATATTCAGGTCTGGTGACTGTGGTGGCCAGGGAAGATGGAACAACTCATCCTCGTGCTCAGAAAACCAGTCCTGGACAATGTGAGCTGTGTGAACAGGGGCTTTGTCGTCTTGGAAGACACCATCACCGTCGGGGAACAAAGTTTGTACCATGGGATGAACTTGATCGGCCAAAATGTTCACATAAGTCTTGGCAGTCATGTGCCCTGACACAGTTATCATGGGGCTAGCAGAGAACCACGATATGGCTGCCCAAACCATAACAGAACCCCGCCATGTTTCACTCTTGGCAACAAGCAGTCTGTATTATAGGCTTGAGATGGCGTTCTCCAGACATAAACTCGGCCAGAAGTGGGAAACAATGTGAAAGAAGACTCGTCAGACCATATTACTCGCTTCCACTGCTCTATAGTCCAGGCTTTATGACTTAAACACCACCTTTTCCTGTACGGGCATTAGCATCACTGATGAGTGGCTTCTCAATTGCAGCACGGACCAGCAATTCCCTGTTTATGAAGCTTCCTTCTAATTGTTTTGGTACTCACAGGGTTCGGTAAACACAACATTCATTTCAGCAGTAACTTTTGCAGCTGTGGTCTTCTTATTTTTTGTCACAATTGCCCTTAATGATCGTCTGTCACGATCACTCAGGACACATACTTTCGTCCGCCCTGTGATTTAGCAGATGATGTTTTTCCGCTTTTCAAAATATGCGGAAATAAATCTTCGATACAGTACCTCTTGAAACACTAAACACCTCGGCTACCTTGCTTACGGAAGCACCTACCATACGTGCTCCAACAATTTGCCCACGTTCGAAGTCTGTTAACTCTGACATAATGCAATGACAACCCCACATAACAGTACTCCGACAACAACTGACTGTTTAGCACATTTTACGAAGTTGTAGGTGGCGTCAGTAGTCAAAAACGCCAGCGCCACCTACATATTTCATTAAAATCAATCTTTCTTTACAAACATGCATTTCACAAGGGTGTTTCATATTTTTGTCCATCCACTGTATCTCATTGATATATTATAAATATAGCTTAAACATGTTTTATGTGCATACTCAAAGGGGGTGGGAAGTAAGCCTTGATTCAAAATCTGTTTTAAAGCAATAAGTAAATAAATAAAATACACTGGTTCTATTAGAATCTCAAAAAATACTGTTATGTATACTATAAACAAATCCAAATTATCACATCATACTACATAACCCTGGTACAAAAGAAGAAATGTCTGATTAGGAACATACTCTATTTATTTGGTAAAAAAGAAGAGTAAAACATATGCAACATCCCATTATGAAAAATCCTGCAAGCCATTACAATACTATAAGACATTGATTAGTAAGGTAAACATCAGTTGATCATTCTTTCACAAACAGCAATAAATGTTTCATTTAAAATTCCTAATAACATGCCAAAACAGATTCACAATTGATGCCTCATTTAAGGTCACACAAAAGTAAATCCGATTTAGCTGACTATGAGATCTTCTATTGTAGAGGACTTTCTAAGGAGAACTGGCTTGTATTCACATTACACATGGGGAAAAACCACAAAAAAACCAACCATGCAGCCAGCCTGTTCGGAAATAGAAACAGAAGATGGAACTCCCAGCATTCAGTAAACTTTAACCATTCAGCTGTTGGTGGGCCTAATTATTATTCGAAGAGAACAACAGCAATTTTTCAGTGACAACTACTCTACTTTTTACAGACAGAAACTGAACAGCAAAAACTTCTTAAACTCTTGATTAGATTCTAGTTTACTTTCTTCCTTTTAAAAGCAGGGAGATGCAAAACTTTGCCGCTGCTGCCTTTTATTTTGAAGAAGAAGCTTCTTGAGACCAATTCCACGGGCAGTCAAATAATATTTTATTATCTTTGTTTTGATATTGCAACAGGAGGGAATATTTACCTCGCCTGCTTTCTTACAAATCATATTAACAAATTCCACATCCATAGTTACATTTCCATGTATTATTTTGTCTCGAAAATTTTGAATTATTTTTTCACACAGAAGGCACAATTTAAAAATTTCTGGAGAAGGACATTTAAGCCCACCTAAATTTGCAAAATTAATTATGTACTGCTTATTTTCATCAATGGAAGGAGTATTTTGCTCACAAACTAAGAGAAAACTGTGAGCATGAATTACAAGCATTTTTCAAAACAGAATTTATTGCAGCTCCTGCAATATAACAGACGTTATTTTCCTCACTAAGGGTGAGATTCTGTAGAGATACATCAGAAACTTCTGGTATGGTAACAGGCTCTAAAGCTTTTTTTCTCCTTCAGAAATTCAAATTCATCGTTTTTCGCATAGTTTAATAAATAAATATCTGAATCAGTAGCATAACTGGAGTTCTTAATGTCAGATATAAACTGAGATAAACAGATAAGCTTTAATGCTTTCACAGCTTGCAAAGCACTTGGCCTCAAACCAGCTTTTCTGCGTATCTGAGAAAATACATTTTCTAGAGCATCTTGTGTCAATCTGCTCGTCAAAATAAACTGAAAATCATTCAGAAAACATGCCTCTGCTAACTGTATGGCTGATAAAGTAGAAAGAATCAAACCAGTATGTAATGGTTTCCACCCTTTACCAATTTCTATAAGCTGTATAACATTAATAAATTCAAAAAGTAACTCAATTTTTTTGCTTTTATTTGTCACAGAAATTGAGTTCTTTCTACATCTAGAGGATAGCATTTGAAACCACTGACATATAAATCTTATCCACCATGCTGTTTGTAAGAGCATTAGGGCTTATCTCTTTTAAAGCTACTGCCTTCTCCAATCCCACAGCTGTTTTAATTGAAAAAAACCTCACAGCAGAAGCAACATTCATTTTATCAAAATGTGAGGGGAAGAGGTCTTCTTTGCTGAGATGATGCATAGTTCTCAAACCACAATTTTGGTTTGTTTCAGTAATCCAGATATCTTTTATAAATCCTGCAGATACATGCAAAGTAACCAAATTTTCTTTATTGCAAACATAACTGGGCAGTTTTATACTATGATTAAGAGTTGCAGACCAGAGATTTTTTAAAAGATGTGGCACATCTGCAAATACATAAATAATTTTGCCCTTAATTTCAGTAGTAGTGAAATTATTTCTTTGGTTTCGAGAAACAGATATTCCCAAAGAATTCCACAGGCTTCTATTTACTGCTGCCATATCGCTAACAATACCAAACAAACATTAAATCCAACAGAATTGACAGCTTCGATAACATTGACAACAAGTTGTTTGAGCTGGCATCCTGTTACCTGTCCAGTTATCTCATGGGCAACCACTTGCTTCCATTTCAGCTTCAAACCTCTTAGTAAAATAACTAAATAGTGATTTCCTGCACCCTTTTGATTTCCTAATGTACATTTACCAATAAATTTACGTTTTGAAATATCAAAATCAGGATTGCCAGAAATCTCCATTTCATCCAATGATAAAATACAGTCTTTATCACTAGCATTCATTTTTTCTCCTTTAATTTTTCAAAAGTTCAATCATGTCACTGATGACTCAAAATTCATTTCAAGACCTTGAAGTCTTTTATTTAAAGTGCTGTATGAAGGCACAGGAAAACCTATTCTGTGCAAGTAATTATAACCATGCTTGCCCAAGGCAAATCTAACTTTCAGGCCTTTTATTATTCTCTTGTTAGACCATTTTGCAATGCTTCTACGAGGAATTTTCAACATTGCTATTTGTTCATCTGAAAGAAATGTTTTCACTCCTTTCAGCAATTCCTCATGCTGTACTTGAAGGTCATGAAGTTGAATTTCAGTGCTTTTTTTAAAACATTAATTCTTTTTTCATTTTTTTTTTTTTTTTTTTTTGGGTTGTTGTAAGTTCTTTCAGTAATATTTTGTTCTGGCATTGCAGAAGCGAGATCAATTCAGTCTGCTGTTTTATAAAATTCCTTAAAAGAACATCCTGGAATAAAGAAAAAATCTATAAAATCATCAAAGAAGGGGGGGAAACAAACAAAAAACAAACAAACAAACAAAAAGATCTGAAAGGTTTCAGATTTTAAATTACACCCAAAGGGGCTTTTTTTAACATTTTGTGTTTTACCTTTATTTATTAAATATCAAGTTTTTCACACTTAAACTATAAAATTCAGTTCAACAGCAATATTGCAAGATAATTTTAAAATGAGCATATCTTCAGAATTTCCCGATTCATTGTCTCACACGCTGGAGATAAAAGTGTCTTTTCTGTACAACATTGCCATTGCTCGCTTTGAAATCCTCAAGTTTGTTAATCAAAAATTCGTTTTAGTTTAGTTTTACAACATATAAAATCTATATTAAAACAAATTCCGAATTTCAAATTCGGTCTTCCAGATGTCCATATTCACAGTAGAATTAAGTCATTCAAAATTTGATGGCTCTAGGTACCGTTGTTTTATCAGAATGCAAAAAACGTACATGCATTTATGCAGATTCTTCACTATATAATTTCTTAAATATAGTACAGGGTGATAATATTTGGTGGCAACAATTTGAAAAGTGATGCAGCCGTTTATAGTGTTTCAATACAAAACGAAAACAATAGTCGGTACTTTTCCGTTTCGCCGGCGCAAATCTCGCCAAGCAGACTTTATTGGCGACAACATACAGTATACACATAAAACATCTTTAAAAATATGTTAGTTCTAAGAATTCTTTTTAAAAAAGAAGGCATAAACATTTTAATATCGCTTAAAATTTTATAGAAAGCCAATAAATAAAGACAACAAATTTGTAAAAAGACATTAATTTAAGAATTTACTATGCTTTCATGGTTCAACATCCTGATTCGCCGGTTCATATCACGTGACCCCAAGCGATCTCATGTCACGTAAACTACTCTACAAAAATCTAATGCTCTCAGTAATTATCTACATTAATTTCATGTTAAATCTTAATTTGGAACACAAGTCTAAATGCAAGAAATATTTCAATTTCGTACGAATAACTTACTCAGAAATTATGTAAAACTGCAGTGCTTTACTTCGCTAATTAATTCGAATTGCAGTGCATTCTCATTAGAATTGATGAATTTAACCCTTGACTTTACCTTTTCTATATTTTCTGCTTCGAGTAAGCGCTATGATTGCATCCTAATTGATTTAATTACCGAAAATGACCTTAGACATAAAACTGAACTATCTGATAAAAATTCTATAAAATTATGTGCCAGTATTGAAAGAAACAATCAATTTGATAGGAAAAAGCTGCGACTTGTTTTGAAAATGAGGCGTAAAAGGTTACCAGCGAGAATATTCCGTTTGGCATCGGTTGTACCGTTATTGGCGACTTTATCGCTTGCGCCGGCAAAACGGAAAAGTACCCAATAGTCCTTCAGGGACAAAGCCCCTTGGATTAAATGCCAAACTTAAACAGATAATAAATCCACAAAATAAAAATGCAAGTTCCAGGTCTCTTTTCCTATACTGTGGTGGGTTTTTTAAATTTGACTCTATTGTTTTCAGCATTTTCTAGATTATTTTTGTTTTATTTTCTAATATTTAAAATTTATTTCACTTAAAAATAGATTTTTAAAAATTATTCCAGCTTTTCAAGGGATCGATTATCTCCATAATCATGAGCAATTTAATAACACAAAATTATCAACTTATATCACAGCCTTCACAAATGCTGATAAAATTAATTAAAATTAATTACAATTTGGTTGCAAAATGAGTCTAAAGGTTGTTTTTGCAAACAAAACTGAAATTTACATAGAGAATTTGCAACTATTGATGAAATTAATTACATTCCATTCCTTTTACCAAAAAATTACTTTATAGAACATTTTAAATGTATATAAGGAAGCAATTTAATTATACATTAGTTATCAACTTACATCAGAGCCTTCACAAATAGATCGTATTTCAATGCAAAATGAGGCTAAAGGCTGTTCTTGCAAACAAACCTGAAATGTACACAAAGAATTTGTAAATGCTGATGAAATTAATTACATTCCTTTTATCCCCCCCCCAAAAAAGTTAATAAAAACATTTTGTATAAGCAAGCAATTTAATAATACACTAATTATCTACTTACATGAGATCCTTCACAAATAGATGGCATTTTATCACAAGATGAAGTTGAAGCTTGTTCTTGCAAACAAACCTGATAATATATATATAAGAAATTTAGAAATACAGATAATATAAACTACATTCATTTTAAGAAATAATTATTTTACATAACATTTTATAATTCATAAATAGATAATAAATTGTTAACACTCAAAATTCAAAAATAATTCCATAGCACAACAGCCAGATATAGTACAGCTGTTTAGCAACCATAAGACAAACAATTTCATATTTCACAAATCGTATAAAAATTCATTAATATATGTAAAACATATGACATTTAATAGCTGCTCAAATGAAAACATAGAATAGATTCTTTACTAGCAGTTGTTATTTAATCAGAAGGTAATGCTAAATGTTGTTGCAAACACACCTGAGATGTACTGTAATGTACACATTTGCAACCACTGGTGAAATGAAATAAAGTGCATGATTATGAAGATGGAAACATTTAAAAAAAAACATATTACAGTTACGAATAGATGTTTTAAAAAACTATTAAAATTTTTTAGAAGTGCAAAATGGCAATTTACATCAGATACTTCGGCAGCAAAATTTATTTCTCCAAAATATGAAGCTGAAGGTTGTGGCAAATGAACCTAAAAGAAATTATAATATATGAAATATGTGGAAGTGAAAGAAAGAAATTATAAACTCTGATCAGATAAAAATAAATACAAATAATCATTACCATTTTAAAAGTAACTTTCAACTTATAAAAAGCATAACATAAATACATTGGACTGTTCATAGCATTCATACTTCTTAAACATAAGTAAATATTACGTTAATATATTTTTAAATTTTAGAAACAGTGTTAATACTTTTTAGAAAAAGTTTATAATACTAAATATTTAATAAGCTGTTCAAATGAAGACTTACAACAGATGGTTCAGCAACAGAAATCGCTTCAGTTGATAAAGGTAAACTGTTGCAGCAAGCCACCCTGAAGATGCAAAAATTATGAAACACCATAAGTAAGGATACCTGAAAATGCTGATAAATAAAATATACTTAATGTAATTTTAATAATAAATAATATAAATAATCCTAATAAGTTTTGTAAATCTTTAAACAAAAAATAACAACATTCAGACAAGACATATAAGACATTAAAATATACATTTAAATCAATGTATTATAACTATATTATTGTATTACTGAAGATTAAAGTTATTAATTTCAATATTATTTCTTTTACTTACTCCATACATATTCTCTCTATTTATCTGGAATTTAAAATTAAACAAAAAAGCAACTTTAGTTTAATACAAATTTGATTTAAATCTTTTGACTTTGAAGGCAATCAGATACCGGTTTCTTTCTTTTAGGAACAAATTTGAAGAAACCAGAACCATGTATGACCGTCCTCGAAAAACTACAAAAACTTTATCCAAAAAACTACATCAAATTGAGGTTTTATGCCTAATTTTCAATATATGATTATAATAACAAAGTACATACTTAATTATATATATAACAAAAGCAAAATTTTAATTTTTTAATCTAATCTTAGGGACTGTAATTACAGCTTTATCACATAATGCCTTAATTTCAATATTTTGATTCTTTTATAAAGCAATTTAGTCCATTTGTAATAAAAACATATTTTTTTATGAAAAACCATAAAAATAAAAAACACATACATTACAAAAATTGGATGTAACTGAACGGCGCTTTGGCTCTTTATAGTAGCCTTAGTCCTAGCAAGGTCCTTGGTCCTAGTAAGACCATCAAGTGGGATAGTTTGATGTCACGCGTGACGTAATTTTCTCACCAATCAGAACTTCCTGAGTTGAAATTCAGACGTAATCGATCTCGACTATTTGGTTAAAAAAAAAAAAAATAAATAAAAGAATAAAGTTGAAAAAACTGATTTGAGTAAAAATTGAGTTTTAGTGTTTAACAAATTTATTAAATATAGCCTAAGCAAGTGCTATTAATAGCGTGATAAATAGATTTTATTTTGGTATCAACTAATGCCATTACTATTCATGAAGATGAAATTTAAAAAAACTTTTTGTTAGCTTCATTAATTGTTAGTAAAACTTGCATGTTTATGATCCCTAGTATATCTGGCGCACAGAATATTTTTTCAAGAATTTCGCCTTTCAAGTCGTTCACTTTGCAATATTTAGGTAAATGAACGGTATCCGTAACTGCGTTTTTGCGATATTTCAGCATTTAGCGTGTTGTTTCTGATTTTGTGAAAAGTGATAAAGTTCCTGATTCGTTATATCTGTGGAATTACATGAAATAAACCTGCAGACCATAATGGAAATATCTACAATCTTCTACTACAGTATTTGAGGTGAGTAGGATTCACATCAGTGCTTCAGTACTTCTTAACAGTAGCGCCATTTTGAGTGCATTATATAAGTTTCTTGCTCGCGAGGAATGTGAACTGTCTCGAGCGTTGTAAATGATTGTGTATTTTTGACAACAGAGTTATTGATTGCAACGTGATTTATTTTGTTTCTTTCAAAGGTCAGTGAAATACATTTGCAAATTTATCAAGTTAATTCTGCATACTCAAATGGCGGACGCAGACATTGATTTATATGCGGATGATATTGATCATGACTTTAATCAGGAGGGTGATTATAATCATGATACTAATGTAGATCTGTATGATGATGTAATTACTGCACCATCTGATGATCATCACAATGATGAAGGTAGGCCTTCATCTGCTGGAAGTTCATCTCCTCATCATTCGAGGCATGCCGGAAAACGCGTAGCTGTTTATGTTGGAAATTTGACGTGGTGGACTACAGATCAGGATTTAACTGAAGCAATGCAGAGCCTTGGGGTTAATGATATCTTAGAAATAAAGTTCTATGAAAATCGAGCAAACGGGCAATCTAAAGGGTTTTGTGTCGTTGCTTTAGGGTCAGAAAGTTCACTTCGTATTGTGATGGAAAAATTACCGAAGAAGGAGTTACATGGTCAGAATCCTGCAGTAACAGCATGTACGAGACAAAATCTGAATTATTTTGAGCTACAGTCTAGGAAAGGTGGTCATGGTGGTGGAAATCGCCATGATAATTCCAATGAGCGCAGAAGCCGAGATCGAGATAGAGAAAGAGATCGTGATGGTAGAGATAATAGACCTGATAGTCGTGCTATGCAACAAGATAGATCAAGGAGTCGTAATAACACAGCCCAGTCTTATCAGCAGCAGCAGAGAATGCCACCAGGTCCCCATATGCATCCTCCCCCTCAAGGACCACCTCCACCCCAGTATCAACCTGGACGAACGCCATGGATATCTGCCCCACCACCCCAAATTCATCACATGCCTCCGCCTCCAACTCGTCCAGGTGCACCTCATGTTAATACAGGTGCTCCACCTCCTCCCCCTGGCTTACAAGCACCTCCACCAGTCAGACCAGGTCCTCCACCTCCAAATAATATGAGATTACCACCTCCAAGAGCACCACTTCCTCCAATGGGTCCTAGAAGTGTACCTCCTCCTGATACTCGGGGGCCACCTCCAACGAGTGAGTGGGAAAGACATTTAACTCAACCTCCTCCACAACATGTTAGCATACCTCCGCAACCAGTTGGTCCTCCAAGCAGACCCCCACCACCTGTTCCTGCTCCAGGTCAAGGTATACCACCTTCACTTCCACCTCCAGCACCGCCAATACCTAGTCCTCACATAAATCCAGCATTCTTCCATCAGCAAGGTGTGCCTCCAGGTCTGGCACCTACTTCACAAGCTACCGAGATTTACAGTCGACCACCTCCTGTGCAGTTTTCTGATTATCGTTCAGTAGGTGACAGACCAGAAACTACATCTACTACAGTTAGTGATGCTGAATTTGAAGAAATTATGGGCCGTAACAGAACTGTCTCAAGCAGTGCCATTGCTAGGGCAGTTGCTGATGCTAGTGCTGGAGACTATGCAAGTGCTATTGAAACTTTGGTTACTGCTATATCTTTAATCAAGCAATCAAAAGTTGCAAATGATGAAAGATGTAAAATCTTGATTAGCTCACTTCAGGATACTCTTCATGGAATAGAATCGAAATCGTACGGATCTAGAAGTAAAGAAAGAGCTCGTTCTCGCGAAAGAGAAAGATCTAGAGAGCGATCTTCCAGAAGAGAAAAATCCAGTAGACGTGATCGCTCTCGCAGTCGTGATCGTGAATACAGAGATAGAAGTCGGGAGAGAGATCGTTACCATGATGATCGTTATCGAGACAAAGACCGAGATCATGACAGAGATCGACGCAGCAGCCGACATTAAATGTAATTTCTTTTTCCTTATTATGTAGCTTAAAAACTTAAATGATTGCAGTAGCATATTCTTCCTTTATAATTTGATGTTTTTGCGATTTTCTGATTATAGAATGAGTTTTGTAGTAAATGTAGAACTTGTGTTTACATGTGGTAAATCATTCCATTGATGCTACAAAAATCCTTGTATCTTTCTTGAATCAATAAAGTATAAAACTTATGTGATTGTACTTCATTTGTATGTATGACTTTTACTGTATTGTTAATTGCTAAGGAAAATGGCTTTTATTAAATTGGTTTTATTTCTGTTTTTAAAATGGAATTTAAAAATCTTATTTTAAATAAGATTGTTTTAATTTTTATTTAAATTTCATAACATGAGCTAGGATTTGTTTCTCATACAAAACTGAAATTTGTTATGTTAAATGAATATAAATTATTTGAAGAGCCTGTTGTTTTGCTCAACTATTGGTTCATATGTACAAAATGCACATCTGGAACGTTAAGATAATTAATTTACTGTGTAGGTGTGTAATGAAAGCAGCATTTTGTAAATAACACAAATCTAAAACTTAGTTCTAAATGAATTTTATAATTTCATGTGAACATTAAATTATTTCATGCTTATGTATGAATTAGCTTTAAAAATTTGAAAAGTATCAAATTAAATGTAAATAATTTGCAAATGGTTTTTCATGTAGATGGATATATGAGTGAATTCCTGAAATTTCTGTATTTGTAATCCATAAAACATTAAGCTTTTCAGTTCATCAAGAAATCAGATGGAGTGATAAGTTTTTGTACAAATGTGAAGTCTGCACGTGGAGGAAAACGCCAAAGCGAGGAGTTAACAAGATGGTTAAATATGATAATGCAGTTTATTTACTTTTCAGTATTCAGTGTATATTATCTTTTCTTATATTTTGTATGTGTATTATTTTTTTATTCATCGTACAACTTTCTGCATTCAAAATAACATTCATGGGAAATATACATAAGTTATATTTATAGAAATAAATTTTTGTTAAATCTATAATATGTAAATAGTTATTTATAGAAATTAAAAATACATGATAATTACTAGACTTCTAGGCCATAGCCAAAAAAAAAAACTAGGTGAGTATATTCACTATAAATAATAGATTTGAAACTTATTTTGCTTCACTTACCTTTGATCCTGTTGCAATGTTTATTTCTATTTGTTCTTTTTCATTGTAATTTTTGCCAGTTTGGTTGTGGCCTTAGAAGTACAACTAAAAATTTTCCAGTTCAGTTTGTAATGAAGAAAATAGTTAACATATAAAAAAAATGAAGTTATGCAACTATTTTATCGTGAGAAAAAAAGGTGTTTATGCATTAAGTATACAAATTAAAATATGGGAAAAGTTTTCTCTTTGTTTTTTAAGAAAGTAGTGAAGCTTTTTATGTTTGATTCGAAAAGTATTTTGTATTTGCATATGTTATTCATTATATTTTTAGAAATCTTTCCATCAGACTGCTTTGAAATTAATGCCAATTTAAGGCCGAAAAGCATATTTTGTAAATTTAGCATTGCTGCTAGTCTTTTTAAATTGAGCGTGTTATCCCTTAAATACATTGATTTTATATTTGTATGAAAAATATTATATTGTATTAAGAATAGTTTCATGTTCTACCAAAGTCATTTTATATCTGAGATTTATGTTTTCTTTTATAAATATCTCAAATGGCCCCCCTCAAAGAATTGTTCCTTTTCTTACAAAGTGTGATTTTATGTGTATTTAAAAATTATATTTTCAGTTCTTTACTAATTTTTGTGTTTTATATAACTGATATGGACATGCAACTGAGAAGAAATAGAAAAACAAGGGAAAAAAATAATAACCTGTCTTCATTAAATGAATCGTACTTTAAGTCTTGTTTCTCTTTTTAGTCCAGTACCAAAATGATTGCAATACTCTTAATAAAATTCTTTTCTTCTGCTAATTATGTTATTCATCTCGCCTATTGTTTTGAGGACGAGTCATTGTGATGAAGCTAAACTGAAAGAAATCTATGTATCACTTGTGTAACAAAGTTGAGGTAAGGTCTTGATTTTTCTATATACGTATGATGTATTATTATGTAATTGTACTTTTGTCATCTGCATGGGCGTTGTTGATTTATTTAAAGAAAATAATTTGTAAAACTTTGCTTAAGTATATTTTAATTATTCAGGAATATCATGAATATTGTATTTATTGAATACATAATTTTCAACGCCCATGTTATATTATTTTGTCATATGATTGCTGTAATTTATGTGCATTCATATTGGTGCTTCATTTAAAATATCATTATGTATTGTAAAGCATTGTATAGTTATTGAATTCTCCTTTCTGTATTATATTTTCTGATTGTTCTGCATGAATTTTCAAGAACAAATATCGTGATTTCATTACTTTCTATTCTTAACTTTGTACAAATAGTCTTTTTTTTATTCGTAATACACTTTTTGTTTCACATTAATTAATGTGTAATGTCTCATACATTAGGTGTTTTTATGTATTTATATTCATACTTTTCTTTGTTTCACGTTATGTGTGTTAGGTATAAAACTTTATAAAAAAAATTGGTTTAAATTCAATCTCTTAAATTTAAATTACAAAAAGTTAAAGAAAAAAAAATCCTGTAAAAATCTAGAAGCAAAATACGTTTATTGTGTGCACAATGTAAAAGCACAAAATGTTAACAGCATGTTTATTATACCTGATGAATTTTCTTTTCCTGTACATTTGAGGTGTTTTCATTCTTGGTCTTTAATGCGTCTTTCGTAATGAATTACCTGTGTATTTTATCATTAAACTGTTCTCTTCTTTTTATTGGCAAATAAGCTCATTATATATTAAGGGGTTGTTAAAAGTAGAGACTTAGGTACAGTTCGTATACTGGGTCATAGAAAAAGAATGCCAAAATTTTATAAACATCATCCCCAGAACTGTTAAGCATATCAAAATGGTTCAAGTAGTAAAATGTATTTTAATATAGAGTAGCTCTGGTATTAAAAAATGTGTGAAAAGTATTTGCATATTGATCAGGACTGAAAACTTTTATTTATGTTAGAATACAGTTACTTGCCAAGAAATGTTTGCCTCCTTTTTGCAGCCATGCTTTCAGCTTTTGTGTTTTCCTTTGAATATGTATTCTGTTCCAGCATGTTATACGATTATTTTATTTTTTGGATATCCTGAGTAGCAAAGTGTAAACTATTACATTTTTTTTCCCTTCCAAATAATAGAATATTGTTGAAAAGAATTTAATCTCCTATATAGTGAATTTTTATGTCAACAAAAAAAGAGAAAGTTGCACTTCATTGAAGAATAGAGGTAAATAATAAAGAACTGGTGGTAGAAATTTATTCTAAGAATGTTAGATTTCATTTACAATGAACTTACAATATGTATCATTCCTGCAGGATATTATTAACGTTTATCAGATTTGGCCTAGTCTCATGTCCAGATCATTAAGATTACCTTGGCACTTAGTACAGTTAGCCATATTGCTTAATAATTCTGAATCTTTTTTCTTACTACATTAGATATTAATATTTGTTCTATCATTGACAAGATAGACATCAAAACTGTATCTTATTTCTTGTAAATTCTTCCAAATTTTGGATTCGCAGCTACAGTGATTATTGTGATGTTTAGCCATAGATGCTGCAAATCACGAATGGTTATCATACCTTTGCATATATCCATAAACTAAAATCTAATGCATATGTTTTGAAATTGGGTAAAATAAAATCAATTAAACAGAGTACCCCAAAAATATCTGCTACTTTTGAATCGTATAGAAACGTACTTCATTCATATCTTTAGTCCGGATCTTCTAAATATGTTGTTTCATTACATTTAAACATTTGAATTATTTTGATGTTTGACAGTTTTTGAGTAACATGTTTTTATAATTCTGGCATTCCTTTTCGATAACCCAACTTTTGTTTTCCGGTATGTATGATATTTTGTATGATAATTGTGAGCAAAGTTTGCAGTTATGAATTTTCAATATATCGAAATTGATTGTGATGCACATTTTTTGTACCTTAATTGTTTCTTTGATTTTCATAAGTAATACTCTTCTTTAAAATAAGTCATGCTTAAACACACATATTTTTAAACTGTAATTTTATGCAGTAGAAAATTATTTCTTTAAATAAGTCTGACAATTTTAACTATTTTAATGTTATTTATTTACTTAATATAAAGTCATAAGCATTAGATTTTTTGATAAGCTAATAGACTGCAATGAATATGAAGGTTAGGAAACATCAAGATGAAAAAACCGTCACTTATATCATAACATGAATTAAATTACATAAAGTCATAGACTATTGAAAAATGTTAGGTCATCTTTACAGGTATTACTGCAGAAGTCAAACATTTCTAGTGATAGATGGTTATCACAAACATTGATACATTTGTTAATGATAGTTTGATGCATTTTGTAATTACTGGAAATGCTCGTAGTTAGTGCTAACACACTGATCTTACCAAGGGCAACTGCAGTATGATTTGAAGTATTGTAATAGGTCTCAGAATTTTTCTTTGACCAAAAAGCCTGAGTGTTAGTTCATCAATGTTTGAATTCAGTATGCTAGTTAGTAGACTGTCTGCAGTGTCATTGAACTGAGCTTTGTATTTCTGATAGGACATGAATACTTGACAGCGATGTCTACCAAATAAGAACATTCAAAATATACCAGTTTGAAAATCTGCTAGGATGACGGGATTGGTAAGAGGGGTCTGAAAAGTTTATATTCTAACCCTCAGGGTATTGCTGCTAAAAACAATATTTGACCATGGTCAAAGAGTTTCAAAATACTTTCTGTTTAACTAAAAAATGAAGCTAAATTGAATATGCTAGTCACAATAATGTTATCCCAAGTGAAACAATTTGGATTTATTTAATTATTAAGTGGGGAGGGAGAAGAAACCTGCTTAGTTTTTAAGAAGCATTCATGTTGTGTGACTTTAGGAAAAGGTATTTTAATGAAATGGTGTTATTACTTAATATAATTAGAATGTCAGTTTAATTGGAAACATAAATATAAAGTGCAAATTGATGATCATCTTTGTTATAAGAATTCTGTTATGTATAAAGGCATTGTGAAAACTGCTGTATGTATTTGATCGAGATAAATAACGTCTTTAAAGTATTGTGTTGCATGTATATTTTCATTTCTCTGCTCTTGATTTGAATATTAACAGTGTGTTTTACCCTCTAAACTGTTTTTTAAATTAATATTTCCATTTTATGTGTGCACTTTTCACATCTGTTGAAATTGTGAAACATAATATGAGTAGTAATATTATTTCAAAAGAATACTGTTAAAAAGAAGTCTGAACAAATTTTCATGATGAAAGGATGAGAATGTAGCTAAATCGGACATTTAAATGTTGCCACATTTTCATCCTGTTCATTGATAACAATGGTAATAATCTAAAATAATAGTGAGCTTCAGACGTACAATCTTTGATGTAAATTTTATTCATTGTAATTGCTTTCTTTGTTATCTATTTTTAACTGAAATAAACCATTATATTGTAGAAAATAAGCATTTAATTACTTTGAGTAGGTAACTTTTCTTTGTTTTGCTTTTATATATTTCCTCTGCTTGTTATTATATATTCCATCAAAAGAATTAACTAATTCTTTGAAAAATTTTTACTAAAAGTACAGAGGTGAATTTAAAGAATTTGTTCAGTTTTAGTGATTAAGTGCTTGTTTTCTGGTTCTATAGTTGGTTTGAGTTGAAATGTCTTTGAGTGTTTTGCTGACTTTTAGATATTTTAAGCACACAGTAGGAGTTCGTAAAGCCCAAAAAAAAACTGTAGTGTATATTTGCTTAAATTATGGTAGTCGTTATGTAACAAATGAATAATATTTATTTATATTTGGTATTTAATCAGTATGATATTAAAATTTTCTCATTAAAAAATCATTTATTTTCCACTTGAAAGCTGAACAAAAAGAAGTCGTCTTTTTTTTTTTCTCTTTTGTTACTTTTATTCAAACTAAAAAATATTTTCATTTTTCTCATCTTATTCACGTACTTGTCATATAATCTTTTATAATACTTAATCTATTCATTAAACTATTGTTAAAGGCTTTCTCGGGGTTATATTGTTAAACAGGCTGTGTCTATGTGTCCATATATTTTTTATTGTACCCATAAGTGGTATGTAAAAAGTTATACACAATCCTGTCTGTAATATCACATTCTTCCTTCTGTATCATCTGTACATTATTTTGAGAATATTGTAATATTCAGGTATATAATGTTAAGTGTTTGTTGCAGTAACAACATGAAATATTTTTCTGTGTATATAAGTCTTAAAACTCAGTTTTTACATTCTGCAAAAAAGAATTTAAATATAATTCCATTATGTACCTATATAAGCTGTCACTTGAAATTGAATTCTTAGCAATCCTTATTAAAAGAACTATTAAATATGTACTATTTTATATAAAAAAGTATTCAGTATATATGAACTCTATTTTTCTTTTCCCAGGTATGAATATTCCATGTCCGGTTTCATCAGTATTTTGAAAAGGTGCAAAATTTATCTGGTAACAATGGCATCTTTTTCTGGGATATCCTGTGCACCTAAGAGATTAGGAAGCATTGAAGGTTATATGGAAAGAAGAAACGAAATTATTTATCATGCACCGGTTTGTGATGTGCCAAAAAGCTGTATCATATTCTTTGGTGGTGATATTCAGGTATGTAAACTTTTTTATTCTTTTGATTATAATACAACAGATTTTTCTGTTTACCTCCCTTCCCAACTGAAGAGTCACAAAATTGACAACTATTTTCCACCAAGCTAATGTGCAAAAGGTAACTGTCCTTTTCAAAATCGTGGTGTATTAAGAATTTCATACTTGAGCAATCAATGAATAAAATTGAAAAAACATCAGTAATAAAAGACTTTCCCTTTCAAGAAATCCTCTTTTGTTTGCACTGTTGTCCATGTACATGGCGATCTGTTTTCAGTTTTAAAAAAATTTCCCAAATTTGACATGTGCATTGGCTAAAACGTTGCTGTACACATACTTAGGTTGCCAAATAAATAGTTTTCAGGAGCATATAAATGCTTTGCATTGTGAATACTTTTCTGTGAGCGTGCAGGTAATCAGAAAGTACCAGCAGACATTTTTCAGTATCAGAAATATTTGTTTTAAATAATACATATTAATGTATTTTTATCTTTATGTAGTATTATCTTTTCTTTTCAGCTTAATTCTTGTATTCAATAGGAGCAGTTATTAGTAATGCTAAAAAAATGATGATGTCTAACAATTATAACCATCTGTTAGAATTTTTTGGTACTCAAGTTTATAATTTTATATTGGGAGCAAAATGGAATCCCTTCTAAAATTTGTCATTTGAGTCTAATGAAAAGCACCTTAAACTTGTCTTGACAAGTGTATCATATATGCATCAGTACTTAATCATCTTAACGTGACGGCATGTTTAATAGTGTGTGATGGCATGCTTCATTCACTTTATAGACGGTATGCTTTTTTGCATCGCTAAGCCTAACTTTAAAAAAATTCATTAAAAATATTTTTAATCAATCTTTTCTGTAATTGTATTTAACAGTAATATAATCATAAATACTGAATATCGACATTTTGAAACAAAATTTATTAAAATCTAAATGCAAAGTAAAAGATTTGGTTCATCCTGATTAAATGTTGTACAAAACTTATCTAAATCTCTATCTAAACATATATAAAAAATAATAAAACACATGATTAAATATTATAGTATAAATGATTCAGAAAGGAACAATATGTGATAGTTTAATGACTAGCAGTTTATTAGTTGTAAAATACATTTTGAGGTTGAGCTTTTAATTATTCCCATTAGAATAATTAATCTTAGAAAACCCATACACATCTACTAGAGTAATCTTTGTTGAAGATGCACTTCCACTTTTGTTCATAAAAATTAGTTCTGTTCAGTCATTTCTTCAGTTATTGTTCATTAAATCATCATCAAAAAATATAGTGAAAAAAATCAATTTCATGTACATAACTTTGAATGAAATTTGCTCTGCAATTCCCGTAAATTCATATGGCTTCAATTACTTAACAGATCAAGTTCATGATGCACTATTCTGCTGGGTTGTGAGGTGGAAACAAAACAAGCTTCCAGTTCACTCTCTGACAAAATTTTGGTATCCAAATTGCTACTCTCATTTAGATCTAGAGTCTTCGATGTCAGAATAATCACTCATGAGCTCATATACCATTTGAATATACTCTTCTTCTGTTGAAAATTTCTTTCACTTAGACATCACAATATTCGTTTAATTCTTTTTAACTGATGCAAAGCTTACATCTACTCTCTAAAAAACATGCAAACTGAATACAAATGGGTATTTTTGACACCTAAGTTCCACCCCCAATCTTCCCATAGGGGGAATATTTTGGGGGAGGGGGGGAAGCATAAGAAACTGTCCAGTGTTTTGTTTACTTTCTATCTCCAGCTCCTGCATCTAAAGGAATCAGCAGAATCAAAGTATTCTATGGACAGCAATGTGTCATTAATGTGTAGGATCAAATAAACTAACTGTTGTGAACACGAAACACCATCTAGTAATTTAAAAAAAATTCTAAATGTACATGTATGTTTGAAAATGCATATATCATACACCTGCCTGGTAGATCAATACAACCGGCGATGCACCAATACATCGTATGGCTGCTTATGACTTTTGGGACTTATACATAAATGGTACACCTTTTACTAAAAGGCTGTCAGTTGAGCAGTGTGCTTTCACAAGGGGTTAAGCAGAAAACAAATCAGTAAGCAGGTGGATAGCCTAATATAATGTTGTGAGTTTCATATTGTGTATTGCAAGAAAAACCCAGTCATCCCTTGAAAATTATCATTCTTGTATGGAATATGATTATTTATGTAAATGCTGGCTTCTGCTTGATTGCTAATATCAGTGCAACTTATGATATATTTTATTGCAGATATTCTTTGTATCCATATGATATTTGCAATAAATTATTGCCATTCAAATCATCTCAGTGGTTTTGAAAAAGGCATTTAGACTATCTTAAGTGATCCATGAGTTGTGTTTTTAATAGAATGTACAAAATATATCACTAGATTGGCGAATCTTCTGATTAATTAAAAAGCGGATTTGTGCTAAAGCTCAATCCTGCGAGTGGGAAATGCTGCTACTGTAAAGTTGGCAAAAATATGAAAAATCTGTCGCCCATTCTAGTACTGTGATTGAAATGTATTGGGAATGAATCATTTAAAATATGCAAGCATATGAAGTCACTTGGAGATTTTTCAGAAATTGTTATGACTTCTGGAATACATTGATTGATATCTGCCAAGTTTTAGTATTTTATTTTCTCTTATTTTTAATGAATAAGGTTTTTTTGTTGGCGATTTTCCAAAATGGCGAGTTTGATTCCGCAAAAGGCAAATATTGAATTTTGTGTTTGCAACTGAATTTTTACCGTAAAAAAATTAATGAAATGTTTTAAAAGGCATTTTATCTGAAACAAAAAGCTTTGAGTGATGGAAGGCAAACAAAGCATTAATGATGAGCCATTTTCTGACAGGCTATTTACTTTGGCTGATGAGCTACAGTCTGATAAGCTAGATATTTGGTCATTAAGTTTCATCAGTTAGAAACTTTAGATAGTATTAAACAAGAACCTATACGTGTTTCTTATCAATTAATTTTGAGATATCATTTGGACTTGCAGTTTGTTGCATATTCAAGTGACCCAGACAATGCTATTTGAAGGAGAGTCTGAAAATATGTTACTACTGTTGATGAAACATGGATCGATATTTTTTATATAGAAACAGTTTAAGAAAGTAATTGTAAGGTGAGCAAGACTGTTTTAAGAATAAGGCAGTAAGGTTTGCCAAGACTGAACAGTCTGTCAAAATCAAAGTAATGTTGACAGTGTTCTCAGAATGTGAAATATTAATTTCTACCAGCTGGCCAGTCTCTAAACAAAGATTGTTATTTGAGTGTGTTATGCATTTATGTGAAGCTGTTCGTTTAAAAAAAATAATAATCTGAATTGTGATAACTTGTGAATTTTGCCTCAACCATGAATTTGTTGTTCATTGATTGAGTTAAAAATATATATATTATGGCACTTTGTAATTCATATTTCCACCTCCTTTTTTTTTTTTTTTTTTAATATATATATATATATATATATATATATATATATGACATTGGACTTTTTTTAAGGTTAGCAGCATGAGTCATGCCAATACCATTCTGATTGAAGAAAGTTACTTACATATTATGACGGTTACCTACATATCTCGCCAAAGCTGGCAACCCGATGTAGGGTATACAGGTTAACCCTAACATAGGTTATAGAGGGCGCTGAATTAAAGAGTATTATGCCTGCACTGGCCATTACCACACCTTTTTTTGCTACATTTACGCAGGTTATTTATTACCTTTAGGTTAAACACATGAAACATTTTGTGATTATTTTCCCAATGGATATCAACATTTTCCAACTTCCTTCAAATGAAAACGAAGCAATAGAATTTTTTAGAGGCTGGAATTTTACCCAAAATGCATTTGTAAAAACAGCCATGATATGAAGTTTTATAATTCCGGATTTTATTGGTGATGCAATATCAAAAATTGTCAACAAAAGTTTGATGCCCGAATTGGTACGTGGTTGAAAACAGTCGTATTGAATTTTTAAAAGCTTTAAGATTTATATACTTTTGGGCATATGAGCAGTTGTCCATTAAATGGTTCCAAACATCAGTTGGATTATTCTGATAAGACTGTTATTGATTGGAATAATTATATATGCGGGAAGTGTGCGTGAAGGATTTGTAGAATAATCAAAATATTAAAATTGGAGGGCCTGGAATGATTGACGAAAGCCTTTTTATGCATCAAAAGAAAAATCAAGGTCGTACCTTGCCACAACTGTGGGTCTTTAGTGGAATTTTCCGGCAGACAAAAGAAACATTCTTAGTCAGAATTCCAGATAGAAGGCAACAACATTAATGCATGAAATCCAAAATAATATTGCTGAAGGCTCAACAATAATGTCAGATTGGGGGCCTAGATATCGAACATAAGAGCTCATTGCTGCCGGTTTTGAACATTTTAAGGTGAATCATCGATACAATTTTGTTAACCCATATACGCAGACTCATACTCAACAAATTGAAAGGATGTGGGGTTCCACAAAATGGAGGAACAAGTAACAACGTGGAACAAGCCACCATCATTTGGATACATATTTAGCTGAATTTATTTTGGAGGGGGGGAGCAGGAAACACCTTTAGATGCTATTTTGAAAGCTATTTCTTGCCACTTTCCTTACCATTACGTTCGTTTTCTTTTAACCAGTTTTTTAAGTAAGTTAATTCGTATATAGTTTATATATATTCGTTTATTTATAATATATATTTGGGATTTTTTGTTTTTAAGTTTTTGTTCCTTTATAATTATGGCTTTTATTTTTAGAAGAATTTATAAACATAAACCAAAAAATGCCAATGAAGATTTTTATCAGCAAATGTTGCCGAGGTAGTCGTCATAGTACGTAAGTACCTGAAGAAACATCAAACTGGTTCTCTTTTGTTAGTATTATACAGTGCTTCTGTAAAATCATGGTGCACTTCTGATCAGTCACAGGAAAGCAGCAAACCGAGATAGAAATGCGAAATCTTCACCAAACAAAAGGAAAACTCTTAAGTTTCCATAGTATGATGTGTTAGCATGTGCACACATAGGTGATGATGCAATATCGCAAACTGTGAAGCAACAGCTCAGCCCGCACATGCTAGTTAAGGTGTGGACCATACAGAGGAAAGTTCAGTGTGTTCCGTGTCTTGCCAAATTCGAATCCGGTGACCAAAGTGCAACATGAATATCGTCGCATGTACAGTAAACCCCCACCACATAGGAATAACATTAATCGGTGGGATACGCAGTTGAAGGATACCAGCAATTTGTTGGACAAATCCCGTTCTGGCAGGCCATCTGTCAGTAACTAATCTGTAAAGGCTATACAGGAGAGTTACCTAAGAAGCCCTAAAAAACCAGTGTCTGTGTGCTAGACAATTTGCGCCTAAGCAAGACAATTCATAAGGTGTTAAAGGAACATCTACGTTTAATGGGTTGCAAACTGCAGCTGTTGCAAGCTATCAAAACGACTGATTGACCGAAACGATTTGCGTTTGTTACAGATATGTTTCATAAGGTCAGCAGTGATAACCGATTTCTGCAAGAGATTGTGTTTAGCATTGAGACGACATTCCATGTTTGTGGACATGTTCGTCGCCATAACATCCGAAGATGGGCTGCTGAAAATCCTCATGCCTATGTAGAGTACTAACATAACAGCCGTAAAGTGAACGTGTGGTGTAGCCTGATGCATAATAAAGTCATAGGACAATTATTCTCTACAGAGCAGACTGTGACGGCTGACAACTACTTTGACATGTTGGAATTGTATGTAGCACCACAGTTTCCAGAAGGTGTCATCTTTCAACATGATAGCTCTCCTCCACACTATGCCAATGTTGTTCGTAAGTTTCTGGACACAACATTTCTTCAGCGGTGGATAGGCAGGGTTTTTGTCAAGGCATGGCCACTGCGGTCCCCGGATCTGATGCCCTTGGATTTTGGCTTGTGGGGTTATGTGAAGCAATGTGTGTACAGTGAAGGTATCAACAACATTAATAATTTAAAACAGAGAATCATGGATGTTGTTCATTCTGTTACACCAGATGTCCTTAACTGTTTGTGGGAAGAACTTGAGTATCGTTTAGATGTTTGTAGGGCAACAAATGGAGCCCACATCGAACTGCACTGAATAAGTATGAAACTTTTAAGAGGTTTTCTTTCATCTGGTGAGGATTTCACATTTCTATCTTGTTTTGTTGCTTCCTTGTGACTGATCAAAATTGCACCATGACTTTACATAGCACTAAATTAAAAACTAAACAGTTAACATTCATGTTAAACATCTCAAGAACTGTATCATAATTTTTTACAGAAAGAGAAATCATACAGGTAAGGAAAAAATGCATGATCATATCTTTTCATTACCAGCTTTCAAAACATTTTCATCTGCTTACCTTTCCTCTTCTTTAACAAATAAACAAACACTGGGGAGATCAAATCCAGAACCCCAGAAGGCCTTCCTTGGGAGTTGATTGAACCGCTTGCGTTTTTATCATGGGAAAAGAAATACAAACTCATGCTGTAATGGTATAGCAATTTCTCCCCACAACCCTAGAGTCACATATATGTCAATTAATGTTGAACAGAAAAACAGTTGCTGAGTCTGTAAAAACCCAAACGCTCATTTTTTGCTCATGAGGGAGCATGGAGATTTAGTTTTATTGTGTCACATTTAATGTGATTTCTAAAACATGGAGTAGTGATCCAGTGCACTGCTTGTATTAAATCGTTTGATAAGAATGGACTATGGGACTTTAGTCAATACTGGAAGGATGAGAAGTCATTAAATAATCCAAAAGTTATGGTGCAGTTTGCACTTTCATCATCTGACATTGTTGGGCTGTATTTTTTCCCAAGACAATAGAGAAAACACCACAACTGTTAATGCAGACTACAACACATATGGTCAGAATATTTCTGATGCAACAGTTCCTTGGGTTTCCAGGAATAAAATTTTTGCAGCAGGATGGGGCCACATGCTGCATTAAGAGAACTCTTCTTGAATAGACTCGTATCCAAAGATGGCAACATCTCATGACTTCCAAAATCCCCAGATATGACATTTTCTTTGGAGATTTCTGAAGAGCAAGGTACACATTAATAGACTGCAAACCATACCAAATTAATAACTAGTATCAGATAAGAAATTGTGCAGATTCAACCTGACCTGCTTCTTCAACAGATGGAAAATGTTCGATCAAGGTCAGAAGAATGTTTACACAGAAATGGCTCTCACATAAATGGCGTTATTTTTTAAAAAGTAAAATGGCATACTTTACTCAACTCTAATTTGTAAAAAAGATTATGGTAATAAATGTTTCATGAAAAAAATTGGTGATTAAAATTCCCTGCTCCATTGGCAGACCCTGTATAGTTGCAAATAATTCACCATTAAATACCATGGATTAAAATAAAAATTGCGCTGAATCCAGTATAAAACATAATGCAAATGACCTGCACCCTAATGTGTTCTTTAAAATTTGTAACCCTAGTGTGTTCTGCAAATATGTTCTTTAAAATGTAAAAACTGGTTATTGCAACTCTCCAAATTGATACAGGTATTGATAATCAGTTAAACAGTAAACATACAATTTTACAGCTTCTGAAGATAAGGACTAAATGATACACTTTCATAAAATATAAAATTTGTTTATACATTCATCCTGACTCGATAGAAAAGCCTTGCGAATATTTATTTATTTATTTCTAAAACTTATCTCTTTGTATAGATTCTAGTCTTGTTTTTAGATTGTTATATCAGAATAATCATTTTCATTACAAGACACATAATTATTCTCATTAGGCTTATTATAATATGGCTTTAACATAACAAGATGTGAAATTTTGGATCTTTCTTTTCCAGTAAGGTTACAATGTAGTTCAGTATTTCCAGGCTGTGTTAAATGTATGAATTAAAAGTTCCTTAGGTTTCAAAGTGGCCAAAATTAGCACAAGCACAACTCCCTTAGTTTCACTTTTCATGGCATTTTATCATAACTGTTTTCCCTTTTGATATTTTAACAGCTAGTTCTTCACAGATTGATTTGTATCTAAGAAATGTACTTGATTATAGAATGTTTTGTCTTTGTATCAGTGCAACATCTCTAGCATATGTAAATTCTTTTCTTGGATTATTACAAGAAACAGAGGTCTAAGACTCATGTTTTCATTTATGACACTCCTTAGGTAAAAAGTCCAAAAACTTTTTCATATCTGAAACAGCCTCCAAATATAAAACTTGTATTCTTTTTTGGAGTAGTGTGAAATTTCTCCACCACATTGGACTGTGAATGGTGTGCAGAACTATGGTAATATCAAAACATTAAAATAATTCTGTTGCCAAAACACTCGTATATGAAATCTCTTTTATCACGCTGAAATTTTCAGGAATTCACCATTCAGGTGAAAAGATTTAATAACACATCCATGACACTAGCAGAATTGATGCCTTCCACCAGAACAGCATTCAGATATTTAAAAGATAAACAAGGTGCTGTATTTATGTATTTTTTTCGAAAGGAACAGTTTTTAATGATCTATGCCAAGGGTACCCAATAAGATCAGTTTTGACCTCATGGGGCTGATGAATTTTTAAAGAAGGCCAGTGATGACCGAGGGGTCGATAGCCAAATGTGTACTGGTACTTGGTCAGAATAATCAAGTTCTTATATTTTTTTTAATATATGTATTCTTATGCAATAAATACAATATAAAAAGTTTTAAAAAAAAACTTCCTAGACTGTCATTATTGACTCTTTGATGTTCTTTATCCAATAGAAGTAAGTTTTAATCAAGCAATTTTATGCCAGATATTAAGAAATAAATTGTGTTAGTATGTCAAGTTCGGTGATCACATTAATTAAAATTAAACTTTTGTTCTATTAGAATCTCTGAGTTTGTTTCCAAAAACTTGTTTATATTTGTAAAATAATAGTAGTACAAAAATAATAAAATATAAATCTAATAAACTTTTTTCCCCAAAAAAACTTATGTTCATGTTGTTATATTACAATTTAGAATCCCTGGTCTACATGTATCTATGTTTAATTTCAAAAATACTTGTGCAAAACATGAAAAATTTTCAGAGATACCGCTTTCATGTCATTGGGCTTCCTCACTTTGTGTCAAGGATGATCTGTTTGAATGTTAAGTTTCCATTTACTTGTACAATTTTGATCCAAAAAAGTCTCTCTTTTGATCTAGTTAACATTAATATTTTTTTTCCTGACAAGTTCTAGAAATGACTGATAATTTCTGCACTTGTTCTTGACATTTAAATAATAATTATTTTATATTGGGTAATTAGTTTTTAGAAAGTGAGTTTGAGAGTGAAGGTGTTAAGTCAAAAGGCAGCTCTAAGTCATTACTTTCTCTTTGCAAGTGATATTGAAGAACGGATAGTTCATTAATCACTGTGTCTTCCAGATCTTCTTTCAAACCCTTCGAAACAACAACTTTTTCTGTGAGCACTATTTTTTGAGAATAGTTTATTCCCTTTTTAGTGTGGGTTGCATTTTTCTGTCCAGTTATCAACATGTCTATATTCCATGCATTGCATTTCTACTGCTTTCATTTTTGGCATTGAGAGTTTCGTGTTTTCTTTGAACTTGAAGCTTTTTTTACGAGAAGAAGGACTCCTTCATTTTATTTTCTGCTAATTTTGCAGCTGTGTGGTTGTCTGGTGTCTAGTGAACCTTGTCCATCTCACATCAGACGACTGCTGTCTTTGTTATTATTCGCCCAAAGCCTCCTTCTAGTCTTACGTGAACCAAAAGTAAATGAATTGGTACTTTGTAAAATGATAGCTTCGTCCAAACATTTTCTGCTGTTAGTGTTAAGAGAATAATGTATTTTTTTGT